GGGGGGCGGGGAGGGATGCCTGGGTCAGAGGTAAACTAGTGAGAAAATGGCAGTCAAAGATTTATGACTTCCAAAGTTTTGAGTGTCAATGGAAATTGTAAATTTACTTTTTTTTAAAATGCCTTTCATCAGTGTTTTTCCAGTAAAATCCATACAAAACAGTGATTTTAAATCAACAAAAAAAGCTTTGGCTCTAAAAGAAAAAATCCAAAAAATTTCCCCAGTGGGAGGAAAAATATCGGCTTCTTCCACTTCATTATTTTGACAAGCACCTGATTTCACCATGATGTCACACATATATATGTATGTCAGCAACCATCTAATGTCATACATATATATATCATCAACCCTCTAATACCACATATATATCAGCAGCCCTATGATGTCAAACATATCACGACCTCAGTGCTTTTTTGTCGTATCTCCATCTCCATTTCTTTTAAACAGTGAAAACAGTTCCTAACAAAGAGTGAGCTTAAGAAGAAGTCACATTTTCACTCTTGATAAAAAAAAGGGAGATACGACCAGAAAGCACTGAGGTCGCGATAACATATTGGAAACCCTGTACTGTCACAGCTCATTCATCCTCACACCCCACTCTCCACTCACTCATATAGTTTCTTTGTTTCAGGAAGCAACATCCTTGCATTCCGGGACATGTCCATCGATGCTCTGTTGCTCTCTCTCTCCAAAATGTCGCCGAGGGTCTTTCCACTGATCGTGCCAGCGCATCATATATCATTTTGTCACACACACAAAAAAAACCTCCACAAGTGCCGACTCAGCAATACTTGGGCTGACTCATCATGACCTCGGCGTAACTCTTCTCGTCCGTCACCTCAAGGTCTCGGCACAGGTTTGGGTCATGTGACCGGCCGCTGCGGGCCTCGCACAGACGCGCCGTCCGGCAGGTGGGATCGCACGCCCCAGAATCGCGTGACTTCCTGTAAAATCTGTAGGGAGGTAGATAGAAAAGAAATGAATAAATTCTGATGTTTTAAAAAACTATTTCACGACGTAGCTGACACATTATTTATATCAGTGGGGGGTTGGCGGGTGCTCCGGTGTGGTTTGCTCCTTCTTTCTATCAAACAACCATTGTCCTTATCTCTCCTCTTTTTTTTTAAAGGGG